CTTCAATTGTTCTACCGAGCCCCTCAAAGCTGCTCAGTCTAGCCTAGATCCAAAACTCAGTCGAAGCATAATTGCTTTGCAGGGACGGGTTTTTTGTAAAAAGGCATCGTCCATGTTGCTAAATCACCCTTTGATTGCCGTTCCAAATCCTCGAAGCTTTTTCAGCCGGATGCTTATTTCTAACACTTTATCGCGATTCCCAGACGAACAAATTTGTATCAGAACAGTTTATTCTATACATTACAAGAGATTTAATGGAATGCCGCTTTCTTGCACACATATGCCCTCATTGTCACTGTACATTCGCAAGTGTCCCAATGTTGATAGTTGCTGTCCTTAGCAGGGACTCGTCCAAGATAGTCACTATGAGTCTGAAATCACTAGTATATTCTGTAGTAGACAAGCTCTGATCAGTCAAAGTCAACGAAGAAGTAAAGGCATGGAAATTCAAAGGCCTTGGCACAGTTAATATCGTCCGAAATCAGTCGAGGAGGCGCCAGCAGATGTTGTGTGAGCCCGCGCTGCCCTTTGGACCAATAGTGATCGGTTCGACACGAGAACAGCCATTGGTGGAGAACTCCACAGGTAGGCTATTCCGGCAGACCCTAACCGATTGCGAGGATGTCAGCTGTGGCCACAGCGAAGCCATAAGAGTATGTAATCACCTGAGCACAATGTTCACGTCCTTTTTTATCCGCAGGCTGAGAGGCACCCCAAGCATTAAAGTCAAGCGGTGTTCCATCGGTCCACGTCCAATCCTCTGACGTGGGATAGTTTTGCTGCTTCAGGCCGATCCATGTCAGATCATCCTCTTTCTTGTATTCCACTCCGGCTTTGGAGATGTCTGAAAAACGGGCATGTCATGGCAACGATGAGAAGCTGTTCGCTCACTCACATACTCCACTCCACCGCTATCCCAAGTGCGACCTTTGTGAGAGCCCCACTTCTTTGAATATTTTCTCCCTAACTTCACTTGACGATACCTCTGGCAATCGCTGGAGGCATCTTACTAGGAGTGACAGAAATTCCTTCTGTTCATATGAGTTTCACCCTTCCCCCTCCCCACACCCTTTCATATATATACAGCCCCCTTCAGGTATCGAAGACGACCTCCACCCGCAGCGACAGTGGTCTCACCGGCGTACAACGACCACTTTGTTAAAGATCCGTCAACTACGTGGGACCCCGTCTCAACACCTATCAGCGCTGAGAATCCACGCACCTTCGAGTTGTCCTCTGCTTCACTGTAACAGTAGGATTACTATTAGTATGATCTCACCGGCAACAAATATGTTCTCCTCTTGGCTGTGAATTGATGTAAGGTGCCCTCCTTCTGACATACAAACAGTCTCAGCATTGTCGAAGGTAGCGAAAAGGAAGTACTGAATAAATAAAATTAGCAATGCCCATACGAGTTCTTTCTTTAGAACATATTTTTTGGTTAAATTCTTCGGGTGAAAACATGCTAGTCCCAATTTTTCCCAAGGATGAAACATTCGGTGTTGAGGCTATCGTTCGCATTACGGAGAAGCTGCGCACTCACCCTCGCGGATCCTCCTTCTTGCCGTGGAGCAAATGGAACTCCCAGCAGCAATAGCGTGCCACCTCCTACGCTGCTCAAGAGTGCAAGGAACCAGAATGGAGTGAAGCGACGTCGTGGTGCCGTGTCCTGACTCCGCACGTGCTGCCCATGGCATCCACGCGTCTCGACAGTCGTACATCCATCCGATGGGCCAGAAGACGCTCTCAGGTATAGGTTGTTTCTCTGCTTCTCACTGCGTAATTCGCCCGCGGGATTGTGCACCTATGCACAGTACATCATCTATGAGGTTGCACAGATCCGGTAGACGGCACCCCGTGCAGATCACTAACCACTCGGCATTTTTTTCCGAGCTCTCAAGGAAGGAAGTATGGCACTTTGTACAGCTGCCAACCCCAACCCGTTTTCCTCGCCCATGGCGAAAACCATGATCAGAGGTGACTGCGCAGTTTATCGTTAAACCCTTGGAAAGATAGTAGAGGCTTTCGAGTGCAGTGGGATTTCTGACAACGACTCGCTGAATCTAGCTAGTGAACAGGTTTAGAACATGTTTACGCTCCAGGACCTAAAAGTGCTACCATTTAACTACTCCTGCTGGGCGGAGGTTTGGTTACCAGTCAAGGGAGCACTGATGGTAATGATTTGTGGATCCAGCCGTCGAGTGAAACAGTCATCTTTAATGCAAAAGGGCGATTTCAACTCAACTCTGTAGCATTACTCAGGTCGAGTCTTGTCGAAATAAGCCCATCCGGAATCGCAGTGGCCGACGATGGCTGTAAAAAAATTAGTTCTTATAAAAATAGATAAAACTTGTAAAACACTCATACGCGTTGTGCTGCTTGCTCTGTGCCACTGACAAAAATCTCAACTGATAGAAATCAGACCCACGTGGACATAGTTGGACAAAACCCCGGCTGGAGTTGGACACGGAGGACATGTTGGCGCTGGGAAACTGGCTGTCACAGCGCAAACGTAAGCGTAGGCACTGTTGCACGACACCGATGTCCAAGTACCATCTTTACTATTCTGTACGGCGCAAGTAGTTCCATCAGCTGGCTGTCCTGAACCAGAAAATTTCATATGTCCTCCAGCAGACTGCTGCTACAAATGCGCTTACCTGTCGCCCAATTGGTGTAGTTGACCGGAGGAGAGCGCGTCACCGCACCAGCTCCAACGTGTTCGAGCTCAATGTGTGAATCGCTGGGAGAGAACGTTGCAATTTCTGCGCTTGGAGCAGTTTCTAAATAATAATTTTGGAATGTGGTTAGAAGGAAGTTTTTGTAGTGATACTAAACATGCAACCCAGATGAATGGTTGTAGGTGCGGATTAGGAGATCCGCAGACAGTAGCTGAGTGGGTGAACCATCTCGCAGAAGGAGGTATAGCTCAACAAGCTGCATCGCGCATTTTCCATCTATTGGCTCGCGGTGCGAATGCCGCGCGCGTGGCGCTTTGCAATGCTGCGTCGACGCACTGTGGATCTCCCTACTGACACTCGTTGAAAAAGGGTAAGAACTTCAAACCACCAAATAATGGGTTTCACGTAATCGCACCTGAGAGCATGGCATTTTCATAGCCATTGGAGATTGACACCACATGTCCACCGATTGAAATGCAAGCCTCCTCGGCTAGATAGAAAGGCTGCGCTGTGCTGTCGAATTTATAGCACCTAAATGAATGATTTCCATTGAGATCTTACGCTCTTTCTATTCATTTCCGGGCAACTGCAAAAAAAAACAGTTTTCTGCGGGAATATTGGACCACTAACAAGCGAGTTGATTGTAATCGTATTACCGTCAATCGTGTCATGAAAGAAAAGATGCCTGTTTTTTATGTACTTTGAGAACCTGCAGAAAATGCTAGTTTTCAAAGTTTCAAGTTTTCAAAAAAATGCTTTTCTGAGACCAGTTTCATTTCACGAAAGCTGAGAATCGGTCCACTCCAGCAAATAGCACGTTTATCGAAGCCTGTTAATCTCCTTGTAAGTGAAAGGTAAGCATTACCGATTGAATTCCTGGTGATAGACAGTACCAAGAGGACAGTTAGCAGACGCTAGCGCGACAAAAGCAGCCAGAAAGACGAGCATGACGGCAACAGTGCGCTTATCGCAGGAGAGTAGCCTCCGAAACAACTTCGAAGCCTATCAACACTCCAGCCAAATCAATCCAGGTTACTTTGCCGTGGTCATGGCTCGAAAAAAAACTACACTGTCATGACCACTGGGACCTCTGGGGGTTCACATGTGGCAAACTGCGGAGTGGGAAATAAGGTTGAGTGGTCTTCGAACCGGGAGAAATACACTTATTTTCAGGAGCGATCTCCAGCACCTCTTCTCTGGTTTGTTGCGCCATTTTATTACCCGACTTTTCAAGTGTTACTCCTAATCTGAGGCGGGTGTTCTGGTGCAAAAGTTATCCGCACGCATGTAGGAGTTTGCGAAATGCACTGAAACCAGTGCCAAAATTCCCTTTGAAAAGCTTATTCGCTGGAATATGCTTCATTTTCGCTGTTCGACTCTTCACCTACTGCGTGCATTACCACTGACAGGTTTACCTCACTGAATCAGGCAACGAAAAGAGCGCAGTCACGGGTTTACGTATTGGCTTCAGCTCCATCTGGGCTTAGGTTTTACAAGCTACTGTTTTACAAACTGGCTGAGATGCGGCTACAGTAACACGTTCGGAGGACC